TTAAATACTCCGGGAACCTGACGGTTCGACCTGATCGTGTTTTCTGTTGCGCTGATGGTTGTTGTAACTGTGCAGTACGGGCACATCGTCAGGAATTTCCATAGTTGGGCTATCCGTCGGTTGGCTGTAGCGAGCTGAAACGTTACTTATAGTGGGGTTGCCTTCGAAATAAGCTGGTTTCAGACGGTCGACACTGACAGTATCTTCACGTTCGTTTCGCTCAATTATATAGAATTTCTCGTGTCGCTTGATCACTTTGAATGGCCCATCGTAGGGTGGTCCAAGTGGTCGACGAACGGCGTCGTGGCGAAAAAAACACGTTTGATGTCTTTTGTAAATTGGGGTGAACGAAGACATTAGTCGTTTGAGGTCTAACTGGAGAAGGCCCAACTGAACGCATTACGTTTGTAAGCCTAGCCACGTACGATGCCCTGCCGGAAACGTCTGAAAATTGAAGGGGAAAAAATTCACCTGGTAGGCGAAGAGTGGTCCCACAGACGAGTTCCGCAGGGGTACATCCAGCATCAACTTCCAACGTGTTACGAATACCTAGTAGGACTAGAGGCAGAGCCCGAGTCCACCAAGGTATGTTCGCAGCTGAAAGGGAAGCTTTCAGCTGTCGATGGAAACGCTCTACTATGCCATTTGCTTTTGGATGGTGGGCTGTCGTTCGAAACCGGGTGCAACCTAAAAGTGCAGTTAGAGCGTGAACTAATCTATACTCGAATTGGCGCCCACGGTAAGTTGTGACGTAAGACGGATATCCGAAGTTCGCGATCCATCTTTCGACGAAAACACGAGTTACTGTTTCGGCAGTAATATCCTTAATAGGTACTGCTTCCGCCCATCGTGTGGGACGATCCGTGCAAGTGAAAAGGTAAGCACATCCATTAGATTCTGGTAGAGGTCCTACAATATCTATACGGGCGTGGTCATACACCTGGATGAGTTTGTGCAACGTATTGAAGGCTTTGCGACGACAAATCTTCGGAACTGCTGGACGTGGTTGACTAGCAGAGACATCGCACTAAATTGTATCCTTGTCTGATCCTACTTGACACGTTCGCTGCTTGAGAGTTGTGGACGTCTACTCATGATTAAGCTCAAGGTCTTCTTTTTGACACCGAGCTAGTTCAACGAGATCAACGCCCTCGATATAAATTATCGAGGCTACTGGTGATCGCTCATCGGCTACGGAGTTATTCGTTCCAGAAATATGTCGGATATCTGACGTGAACTGGGAAATGTAACCCAGTTGTCGCAACTCACGCGTGAAGTATTTGTCAGACGCCGAGGTTATGGGAAACTTTAACGGTTTTTGGTCTGTGAAAATAATGAAATCACGACCTTCCACTGAATGTCGAAAGTGGCATACAGAACAGTACATAGCTGAGAGTTCCCTACCAAACGTACTGTATCTTCTTTCCGCATCTTGCAGCCGCCTTCAGAAAAAGGCTAAAGGTTGCCACTGGTTGTTAGTCAATTGTTGCAAAACTGCTTTGATTGCTGAATCAGATGCATCAACGGCGATACTTAGAAGAGCATTGGGGTCATGATGCATGAACATGGTTGCGTTTGAAATGGCTTCCTTGACTTTAGGGAAAACAAGTCTTGCTACGTCGTCCAGGGTCACGATCTTCGTAGTTCCTCGAAGTACATCAGTTTGTGGTCTCATGACAGAGGCACAGTTGGGGATAAACCTTCGGTAATAACTTACCAGGCCATTGAAAGTGCGGAGATGTTTCACAGTGGTCGGCTCTGGATAGTTTGTGATAGCCGCCACTTTATCTCTCAATGGGCGTATACCTTTGTTGTCAATGGTATGCCCAAGGAAGCTGAGTGATTCAACTCCTATTTCACACTTCTGTAAGTTGACTGTGATGCCATGTTTTTTAAGTCTTTCGAATGCGAGGTCCAAATGTTTGAGGTGAGTTTCCTTATCTGGACTCGCAATTAGACAGTCATCGATGTAGACATGAACAAAATTCAAACCACGGAAGACATCATCCATAAAGCGTTGGAATGTTTGTGCTGCATTCCGAAGACCAAATGGCATGCGCAGGAATTCAAACAGGCCAAAAGGAGTAATAATGGCTGTTTTCGCGATATCTTCTGCTGCCATAGGTATCTGGTTGTACGCTTTGACCAAGTCGATTTTTGAGAAAATGTTCATTCCGCATAAGGTTGCAGTCAAGTCGTAAACGTGAGGTATCGGGTAGCAGTCCGGAGTTGTTTTGGCGTTAAGCCTTCGGTAATCACCGGTTGGACGCCAGTCGTTGCTATCCTTTTTGGGAACCATGTGCAATGGCGATGCCCAAGGACTGTTTGACGGTCTGATAATGCCCAGTTCGAGCATGTGGTCGAATTCATTTTTCGCCGTTTGAGCTTATCGGGGGCTAAACGGCGCGCTTTGGATGCCACAGGTGGACCTGTGGTTGTGACGTGATGCATAACATTGCTGGTTATGCACGGAAGAGTGTGCTTCGGTTGCTGTAACTCTGGATATTTCTCCAGAACTGCCTGGTAGGACGTGTCGCCTGATTGTTTAGTCCTAACGATGGCTAAACTCGGACCTACATAGGTGGTGCCGCCAATAGATAACTTTGTGCTGTTATCTATCAGTCGTCGACGGCGAGCATCTACGAGTAGATCGTAATGGTTTAGCAAATCTATGCCAATGATGGGCATAGAGACGTCAGCAAGGAGGAAAATCCAGTGAATAGGTTTGCGTAAACCTAAGTTGAGGTAGGCATACTGTCTCCCGAATGTCGCGATTGCCTTGCCGTTGGCTGCTTGAAGATTGAAGGATGGGTCATGATGACGCTCCTTTGTCGCTGCTGGAAGAACGCTAACTTCTGCGCCGGTGTCGACGAGGTAGCGGACTTTCGTTTTAACGTCGGTGACGTAGAGCAAACGGCTTTTTCTGCCGGCTACGGTTGCCGTGAGCACGTGCCGGCGTGACCGTTTCCCTAGTTTGTGTCCTTGTTAAGACTGCATGGTTTCCGACATTTTCTGGCTTCGTCTCCGCAAGTATTATGAAGCCAGCACCGTTTAGGGCTTTCCACCCTGTTAGGTTTAGTTTTGGAGCTACCACGCGAGTTGCTGCGATGCACCAAGACGGGTTTCTGTAGAATTCTACGTGAACTAGTACTTCGAGATCGTAGCAACTGTTTCACAGAGTTGCACAGCTTTGTTACCTCTGGATCCTGGCGCTCTGTTTTGACGCAGATAGAATATACGTTAGAGACGGGTCTGCTGGATATCTCCAGTATTTTATCTGCTGGGACTACCAGGTCGTCAAGTGGGACTGACTGGAGTGTCACCAACACGGTTTGCACCGGTTGTGGTGGTTTTAAGAGAAATAGCTCTTCATTGAAGAAGCCTACATTTTTCGAAAAAAGTGTTCCTGTATCATGTCAAAACCTTCAAAGTTTTGCAGCGGGGCATGGAGGACGACAGTTCGGTTTATTAAGTTTATTCGTGCCGCTGGTCAAAAGATTGAAGATTTTGCTCTGTAGCTACAAAGACAAGCGTCAGAGTGCAATTTTGGGACTAGTTACACACCCATCTGCTTGCTCACTTAGTAACCAATGTTAATCTTCTGAAGCTTGAAGTGGAGTGGATCCCAGTGGTTTTAAACCGTAGGCAGGTCACTTTACTTCACTGATCCAAGCGCATCCACCACAAACATTTTATCTTTGAAGTCGTGAATTGGCGCTTTACGGTTCTACGCCGCATTCATCCTCAGGTTCACACAGTCACTATCTGCACTCACCGATGTTGTTTCCAGTTTGCAACCTGTAAGTGGAACACCACTATGAAGACGTCGTATAAAACGGTTTAAAGGTTTGGAGCTGTCAAGCTCCTCTGAAACCTTTACTACCAAAGGCCCAGTCTGTTCTTATCACAGGCTTCTGGGGTAAGTGGCTTAGATGGTGTGAGGGCTCTAATGTGCCCCATGCAGCTATTGAATAAAAATGCTGAGGTCATCCGACCTTAAGTATGAGTGAACCGGTGGAGATCTAGTAATTCTGTTTCTGCTATCAAATACTCCTGGACACTGTACTCAGTCTAGTGATGATAAACTACTACAACAGACAGAGGCCATCAGCAAGGGTTAAGAATACAACACCTACGGTTCGAAAGGCGGATAAAATGATTGGCCGGAGCATCGAATGTCTAAATGTTCCTCGCAAAGGTATCATTTCACTCCCCTACATTGACTTTCAAAAAAGGATCAAACCTGTGTATGCTGCTTGTGGAGTCCCGAGGTTTCTTTCGCCAACTTTAGGAAGTCTAACTCTTGCCCATTTTATCACAGTGTGTAGACCTAATATTCGTCCACTTATTGAGAAGACTTACTCTTCATATCCGCATACTTAAAGAGGGATAGAGTCATCGGGGAAAAGGTTCAAAGAAGAGCCACAAAAAAGGCGGTTGGGTCACAGTACAAACCTTGTCTGGATCCCTTAGCCACTCTTAAATTTCAACCAATACAATACCGGAGGATATGATCAAGATGTATCACACTGCCGGTAACTCTCGTAACCCTTACGGATTCCTCTAACGCCATAATTGGCGACAACACATAGTAGGTCAACCATCAATGGTGGAGCTGATTTGTAGTTAGGGTTTGTAAACTGTGGAACTGCCTTTCTGCAGAAATTGTTAAAGCACCGTCCCCAGATACTTTCACAGGAGGTTAGATGTACATTTAGAGCCCTATGGTACTGATGAACTGTACTTACGAGGCTTTCTGTCACACATAGATCAGAGGGAATAACACTACCGATAGAGAACAGATTAATTTAAATCAACTATTTCTGTCTCTCCAGGTTTTTCGGAACCAGGAAGATAACTGTGGCCATCCCTTACTAATAGCTTATTCTAGTAAGACAGATGTAGAACTCAGAGAAGAATCTTTCACTATCTCCACAATAAGAAGTTTGGAGTTTGAAATCACTTCCAAAGTGTTTAAGTCAGGTCTCCACTTTTAGCGCGCTCACAGTTTTTGGTTTCGGTTTCTGGTTAGTCAGGATCTGCAGCTAAAAGGGCACATGTGAATTGCATTGGTCGTTTGATTAAAATCTTGCCACTTTAGTGATCTTGTAGGATGAAAGCCAATGGTACTTCACGGAAACTTGTAAAGTACAGATTTGTAGGGTGTTTTCTCAATGGAAGAATATCATGAGCTCATGAAAACTAGATATTCGGAGACCATAGGACTCATCACTTCTCTTCTGTCTACGAGTGTTTCTGGTTTTCTACATGATGTGACCCCTCTACTGCAAAGTAGCGTTTTGATGGGTACTATATTTCAATTGATCTTGTAGCACTAGGCTGTGCCTTCAGTGTTTCACTGACTGCAATTCCTTTATATATATTTAAAATGGGAGCTTTTTACAGGTAGTCTTCTATCCCGAAAATGCTCCTGTGGATCGTGGTGAATAAAACCCACTTCTTGGATACGTTAATTGATCTTACGTTATGTATTTGTCTTGATGAGATTTGATACTACTTTGAGTATAGGAAATAAGTTTTTGATCACTCCCTGGTATGATGAAGAGAATAGCGGCTTGAGGTCATTGATTTGTTAATCAGCGTTAAAGAGCTAATCAAAGTATAGGGGTGTTTGAAAATAACTTTCGGGGTAGTTAGCGTCTTTTACATGCACCCACTTATCTTCGTTAGGCTATTTTCATAGTACAGCTGTCATCGCTCGTAGTTCGTAGACTCATCCACTGAATCAATGTACACTAAGAATTTCGGGCTCTGCACTTGTAATGCGTATAGTTTTTTACCACAAAATGTTTTTCACTAGCTGCACTGAAGTCCTACGTTAGTCACCTTATTTTAAAGACCAGAAGAATTACTTAACAAAACTGATTGCCAGTCGTTGGACGAAAACTTCTGGTATGGCCAGTAGAGGTACTCTATGGGTCTTCAGTGATTTCGTTTAGTCTTGACACTTACGGTAGATTTGTTCATAACAGAATACTAATGAGATGTATCCTTCACTTCGCAGGTGACATCCCTGAGGAAACGGCTTTTTGTTTCGTAAGATGCAAGTTTGTACTCTGGCAAAACCTATATGCACGACTTGTAACAGCATGAAATAATCGACAGGTCTTCGCACAAATTATGGAACGGGCTCATTATTCTCAACTTCATGGACCCAATTACAAATCACATGAGGTCGTATGATCATAATTTTATGATGGGTTGCTCTCTGCTGTAGAATACTGAGTACACATCGATTTCTTGCATACATAGTCCTGGGTGATTCATTGCCAGATACGCTTGACAATGATAGAGCTGAGATATTCGGTTTTTGATCACTTGACTTGTAGGTTCAAATCTTTCTCCAACTGATGAGGTTATTTGTCAAAGGCGTTTACTCTAGGTATCGAATCTCTAAAATACTCGATAATTAAGTGATCTGAAATACGTGGTGAGCCACTAAACGGAATTTTACGCTTTTTATATCTTAATTTAGCATAGCTACTATCCACATTTAAGCTGTCTTGAACTCCGATGGCTCAGTGGAGCTCATATGGATCCTATTGGCAAGGTGCATATCCAGCATACTATGATTACAGTCCTGCTCAGGTTAGTTGACTCACTACCCACTGATCATTGTAGACGTATGATTATAATCACCAGACCATCCCTGTCTCGTCAACTCAAGACAACCCGTCCACACCCCCTCCGCCTGGAGTAGAGTCCACCGTTCCAGAACCAGTGGCAAGCCCTATGTCAACGACCTATGATTCACTTTGGTCCCCTGGAGTCCCATACCAATCTCAAAATTTCGATGGCACCTATCCTTATCCCCCTGGAATTCCACCACGCCAGCCACTTATGTTCGATATGAATCCACAGAGACCTTTGATGCCGAACATTCCATATCCCTATGCTACATCACAGTTCCCAGTGCAACCTCGACTTCAGTTAGGTAACTGGAACGCAACCAGACCTGCGTACGGTTATCAGTTTAGCGGAAGTGCAGACCATTCACTGGGCTTGTGGCTCGATAATAAGCCATCTGCTTCGAATGGTGTGGCAGTAACAGGTCCGCGGTTTCCATTCAGAAAGAATCCAGGTAAGACATTCAATCCGTACATATGTATACGACCGTTTCTGTATATCGAATTATGTGTAACTTGAGTCGAAGTATTTTGATTATTATTGGTAACCTCTTTAATTTATGGCCTTCACGTAGGACATATGCTTGACCTACTAGCCAAAGCTTTACCTTTTGGAATATCTCCCCGTTCTAGTAGTATCAATAGAGGTTACTGTAGTATATATTCATTAACTGATGTTCGCATGACTAAGTTGAATTCCGTTAGTGACTGATGTAGACTAAACTTACTGGTGTTGTAGAAGCTTGTCGAGGGTTATCACTGATGAAATTAATTCAAAATACATACACTTTAAGTTACAAGGTATGCACTTAGGTTCATCGATTAAGGTGCGTACAATTGGTAATCGAGCATCCTAAACGACGCACTTGAAGTCCCTTTCAATTACACCACTTATTCCTTACATTCAAAAACTTATCTGACTTGAATTGGTTTCCTTTTTAACATACCTGATTCTCTTAGCACATTTTTCATGTTTTCTTGTTGCTGTGACGTGTTGCCAATTATAGTAGTGCGTTTCTTTTGGACTATGACACTGCAAGGCAGGTCAAGAGAAAACTTCGTACAGTACATCAATTTATTACGGAATCACAATGTGCAAAGGTAAGTTGTTTGGAATAGAAAGTGGTAGAACACATACAACTAGGGAGGATATTCAGAACTCCAAAAATGCCAGTAATTTAGGGCCAAATCACTAAGATACTGCAATCACTGATGCCTGTCGTGTTCAACATCCTGAGTAGGTTGTTGAGACAGGGCTTCCAACACTGAAAAGTCGATGGGACCTCAAGCAGTCAGAGATAGGGTGAGGCAGTAAAATAAAATGGGCTAAAGCCCAAAGTATCCAAGGATGGTAGTTGCGGCTTAATGGTCAGACTGACTGAAATGTTAGCCAGTGGATTGAAATCAAATTGATCCCTTCTGACTGATTTCAATCACTGGCTGTCCCAGTCTTCAAGAAAGCCTAGAAATCCTTTAGTGATAACTGTTGGTGAATCAGTCTGACGAACATAGTGTCTACGAATCTAGGTTTTATGGTCGTCAGATTTCTGAGTGCAGCTCAGGAACAATAAGCCTAAGTGAGGTAGGTTTCAAACCTTGCTGTGAGTCTATCAACCGGATACCCTGAGCCAAGTTACGGATCACAGGTACTCTTAATGACACCTGTTTTTTTCAACGTGAAGGTGACATTGGATTCCGTCAACCGAGAGGTTTTGTGGCATTTTCTCCCATTGGGAACGGTGCTGCGTAAGTACATCACTCTGTTGAAGGCTCTGTCCTCGAACACCTGTGCTTCCAGATTAATTTGATGTCAGATGACCACGAACTCTAAAATATTAGTCGCGATGTTAGGCAAACCAACCCTTGTGGTTATCACAATGCTTTTCTCTTTCCTCGTAGACTGAAATGATTAACAATCTAAACCAGTCTGTAGCAGATATCTGTTACTGCCGTGCATGAGTTATTTTCACAGTCACTGACCGATTACTGCTACCTTGACGTGTGATCGGGCTTGCATATCACAGTAACCCAACGAACTATGTTGGTGGAACACTTGTTCCCCTGAGGTCCTGCCATACCAGAAACCTCTGTTGGATAGTGATTAGACGAAAAGCAGTTACCGTTGTAGTGTAAATTACTACACCATAATACGAGTCTGCGGGCGAAGTCGTACTGCTGCTAGCTGGATGGGGTGTGACAGCAGTAAGGTGTTTCCCTTGGATGACCAGCAGTACCATGGTGATGCTGCCTTCTCAGTGGAAGGGGAGGGGGCTAGAAAAGGTCGACCCCGAATACAAACACTCCGCCATATCAATCAGTTTGCCGGACCGGTGGTGTTGGTTCATTTGTCGTTTCTTTTCGACCATCCGGCCCCAAAAATACAAAAGTTCAAAACAACCATACACAAAAGGCTGAGTGTGACAGGCGTGAAACAGATGTCTGATGGGCTCTGCAATCCCACAAATCGCTTTCAGGTACCTTAAGAAGAAATAGTCTTCCAGGGTGTTGGCAGCCTGGAAGTGTCAACGGCTCTCACAACTCAATCAGCAGTCAAGTTTCCTCAGACTGCTTTCCACCTCCCACATCATTACCTTCTGATCTTCTTTCACGTCTCTCGACTAACGATACTACATCTCCTAGCTCTGTAGCCTTCGACAACAATCTAAATCCAAAGGACAGCATCTTTGATCTCCTTAAACCACGCTCCAAATTACACATCGGAGCGTCGATGTCCGCACCCTCCGTCAAATCGGTTTACAGGCTTCAATGGCCAAAACTCTAGCAACTCGAGTCATGAGTGTCTGCTGTGTTTGTGAGACACGCATACAGGACCCAAGTACGGTTATTCACCTAACCTCTCGCGGTCAATGTGAGGAATCAGCAAGATTCACCCTTCGAGTTTCTGGAGATTCGATGGCTAGCTGTCGCGGTCTTGCAGGTGTAGGTATAGCATTAAGCACTAGGGCAGAAAACTCACTACTAGACTGGATCCCAGTTGATAGTCATCTCTGCGCTGTCCAGGTCAGTGAGAAATAAAAAGAATAGTGGAATTTGCCGTTGTCTCTTTGTAGCCTCTTTTTACGCACCCACTGACTACAGTTCGGATGCAGTGAAGGACGAGTTCTACCAAGAACTGTCTAGCCTTCTCTCGAAAGCCGAACGCTCAGATGTGGTGGTTGTTGTAGGTGATTTCAGTGCGTAGGTAGGTGAGTAGACTGAGTGAGGGAGAAAGACACTAAGGTGGCACTTTCAGAATTCTGGCTCGACGAACAGATGACGCTGATCGCCTACTACAACTGTGCTCGGTTAACCGCTTATTTTTAGTTAGCACAAATTCCGGACACAAAGAAAGAGACTGTCTGACTTGGCGACCACCGAGCTCAACACAGCGATGGACATAGATGGACCACATTGCTATGAGTCATCGCTGGATGACTGGTGCTCCTTCTGGAGTACATGTTTGGATAGCGACCACGCGTTGGTCTGAGCGCGTGTGTGCCCTCATCTCAATGGACGTAGGAAACATTTGGCAACAAAAGCATTGCGACTGCAGCCGAATAACGAAAACACCAAAGCCGCTTTCAGTGAAAAATTGGCTAGCAGTTATTGGAACAGAAGACTATCTATCACTCACCTAGAAGAAGCTTGGTGCCATCTGGAGTCTGCTGTAAAAGCAGCACTGAAGACCGTAGCCAACTCCGAAAGAGTGGCTGAAAAGAGCCAGTGGATATCAGCAGCTTTTTCCGAATCAATGGATGCGCGTGAACGCATCCCTGCAGGCTCTGAGTACAATGAAGAGTGAGGACAACTTAAAAGTAGACTGAGAAAGAGTCTACGCCACAACCGCGAACAGTGGTGGGTAGCGAAGGCTAAATAGATGGGAAAGGCAGCGGCGATTTGTAACAGTAGAGAGTTATTTCGACTTATTGAGGAAACTTAGGGGTGGGGCGGGAAGGTCAACAACCGTAAGTGAGACCATAGCGGAGAAGGACGGGTCTGGGATTCATTCGCAGGGGAGACGACTGGAACGATGGGCAGAGCACTTTGAGGAGCAGTTTAACTGGCCTCCAGCCACCATTGCGCTGCCCGCTATCGATTCGGATCTTGAATGGGACATTGAGAATAGGTCCCCCCCCCCAACACTTGCAGAAGGCGAGAAAGCGGTAGGTAACTTGAAACGAGGAAGGGCAGCAGAACCAGACGGACTAACTCCTGAGATACACAAGGATGATGGTGAGGTGCTCTTAGCCAGGTTAACGGAAGTGTTAACCAGTATATCTGAATCAAATACGATTCCCTGTGACTGGTCTAAGTCACTTATCACCCCGGTCTTCAAGAAAGGTGAGAAGTCCTCCTGTGATAACCGTAGAGGAATCAGCCTGACGAACATATTGTCTAAACTTCTAGGTTCCATTTGGTGCTGAAAAATGTAAGGTTGTTCGTGTAAACCGCGACTCATGACGTGTATTTATCCTTAACGGCATAGAAATTGGAGCGTCACCGGCGGAGAAGGTTTTTTGACCTTGACCCACTAAGACTTAAAGTTCTATGCCATCTGTGACAGAAACACATTTCATGGAAGCTTGTCGCTAGTCTCTCAGACAAGGTTTTGGATAGTTTGATCGTAGGTTTGCGCACCAAAATTTCAATAGCCTTCACCTGGAGTTTGAGACTAATCTTCCCTCCTCTCTACAAAAAACCAAATTCAATGCATCCGGAAGCGGTCTACCAAATGTTTGAAAACTCTGGTTTAGAAAGGAAGGAGTGACTGGTAGTGTTCGACTCTAAATCCCCTGGAATGTAGAAGACTGAGGGAATTTAATCATAGCTCAATATCTGAAGCACTTCCTGAACACCTGCTTCTTCACTTATTTAACCTTCGTTGTGAAACCAGTCATGAAGGACTAAGCCTCGGGACGCACTCAGCAACCTGGTGCACATTCGTGAACCACACATTGCGTGAGAGCTAATGATACTACTTGGCTTCCCATGACCAACTGGTTAAAAGCTAACTACCTAAGCCGGTTAGCCACCGCTTCCCACATTGTGTAAGCTGTTTCGATGAGGTTTACGGAAGAGAAATCGGGTTGATTTTAAGTGACCACAGAGCCTAAAAAACATACTTGGGACAGGCCATGATACATTTTTTTGAAGGTTTGGATATAGATTTGATTGGCTACTTTTGGGCTGTAAAATCCTGTCACTGACACCAGAAGACTACAGGCCCGTTGGAGTCTGTTGTTTTCAGGACCGATCTCTGCTTCTGGCAAAATAGATGGGATCGACATGGAATACTAGTTGCCCACAGTCTGAATTCGCCCTCAATCCCTTCACGATGGCGTAAATTATGTGCATTATTGTGGTAACTGGATTTAGTCTTACCGTAAGATCATAGGATTCAAGAAATAGGTTTTCCAATCAGCGTACCTCGTCAGATCATTGCGATAGTTTACCC